AATCACTGTTAGTGATTTTGCACACCGTCTATATTCGTAATGATTCACGCGGGTGGCGTCGACACGTTCGATTTCGTCCAGAGGAGAATCCGTAATCTTTGGCAGACCGTCAACGCCGTGGATTGCAGGAACGCGCCGCGTCTCAATGTGCCAATAGAAAAGCCACGACACGGCGCTACTTCGCGCGGAAAAGTTAACTGTCCACTTAGTCTCGGTAAATAACGACAGCGTGTCAGACGGTTGTTTGGCAAGTTAAAAACCCTACGTGCCGCCCAGTCGGTATGGAAAACCACCCGTAAGCCTGCGTTACCATTTTTCTCTCATCTGGTGTATGTACGTATAAAATAGAATTTACGATTACGCTCTTACAGGAATTCACAAAACGACGATATAAACAATGGAAAATGGACTATAAAATGCAACGAGGCGATACGTTTTTATTGGTGTCGTTCCGAATTCAGATGTCCCGACGCGTTGATAAATTATCGCCGCGAAACCGGCCAAAACGCCCTGACAGAAACAATTCGAGATAAATCAACATCAGCCTTGGCTTGTCTAGCACATATTGCTTTGGCTATAAATCGAACCATTATCGTAAATTATTCGGAATGTGTTAGGGACAAAACGTTTCTAGTGTCGAGGAGCCTTCGAACAATCATCGCGGGTTTACTGTAGAGGTTAAGTCTGTCTTATCATTTAACAGATTCGAAGAATAATCTAACCCTACAGCTTCTTCTCTTTATTGACTAATTGCTCGTAATTCAAAATTCAGGGTTCATGGGTGTAGCCAGAGAGGCGTGCCCTCCCTCCCCCTAGAGGGAAAAAGTTGCTTTTGCCATACCCTAGAGAAGAAGAAATTCGATTTACCCACCCGCTCCCCCCACCCCCAAGAGGAAACCACTACGAATTTTACCTTAAGATACATTTTGCCCCTCTCCTGACTGATAACCTGGCTACGCCCACGACAGGGTCCATAGCCCCCTCCATTTACTAGATTTTCTTTTCTTCTTAATTTGGATATCCGATTTTCCTATTTCGGTTATCCCCGATTGTCCTAATTACCGTGGTTCTAGCTAGTGGGGCGGTGGTGCCCAAGCGTGGCACGTTCCGCTCGTTTTTTGGCGTAAACATTATCGTTCACGGCTGCCGGAGTTGTGACGTGCCAGCGTCGCGACGGCCGGCCCGTCGTTAGGGAATTAACAATCAAAACGACGTAAATTTCTGTTCCGAGAAACCACAATGTCGCGGGCACTTTCGTTTAACTGACAGATTAAAACGCTTCCTAATTGTTGCTGGTGTCTTATAGTATATTCTTACAATTTCGATCCAAAACGGCGAACAGACGTGTGAACACACAGATGGGTCGATTTGGATCGATCATAATCCGCAACATCTCGTGAGAAGGTCCCAGGCGCATCTGTTGGCATTCAAGCGTCCCCTCAAGTATCGAAATTTACTGGCGTTTCGGAAAACGAGAGCTCAACCGATAATCGGTGGTGGGCGGTGTGGACGAGAGGTGGCGTGACTGAAAAATGGTAACAGGTGTCTTATTCATCTTTCGCGAATCGCGGATATAGTGACACGTGTACGCGCCAGATTTATCACCCACTATATCACTTAACGTTGCTCGGATGCACATCGAAATAAATAAACTCGCCTGTCGGCGGTATTACTTATCCCGATGATACCGATCCCTGCCCACGTGGTTCGGTACATATCGAACAATCATTCGTCCGAAACGATTTTTCCGTTTTCTTTATAGCTTCTTTACAGAAGATTCCGCGTGGGTATGTCGCCGAAGGTGCTTCCCCGATAATTTTAGACGATCAGAATCGGACGCGATATTTCATATCGCGGCGCAACTAGGTCGAGAATAGTTTCACACGCGTACTGCCCGGAAAACCACGCGATTTATATCAAATAATGACGCAACTGGTCCTAAAGAAAGAAATTGGGCTTGCAGTGGGCGTACGTGGCAACAATCGAAACGCTTTAAATAGCCGGGCATCAACATTGCCCTTTTTCCTCGTTGTTTGCTGCACGGTTGACGCAAGACGACTGACATTATCGCAAGCACCTCCTGCAGTCGGTATTTCGGTTTCCAAAATATCGTGAAGCAATGTTACAATTCCTACTTACGATACAGATTTCTTCAAACTGTGGAGAAAGGTTTTGCTTCTGTTAAAACGTGTTGTGCGATTCACGTATAGCGATCACTAAACTGTATTAACCTCACAAATCATATGGTTGTACTTACAATTAGTTTCTTTACTCGTTTCGGCAAATACTGACTCGAAACTTGTTCAGAATATACCTTAAACCCAGAACTCTCTGAATCATGTAGGAAAAGCAAAGAAATCGCTGAAAAACAAAGTACTGAGAATATAATCCTAAAAGATTATTAAGTTTCTACATCCTTCGTTGAAAGTTCACAGCTTCCAGTAGTTACCACTAGACTGTGAATTTGGTATGTTCGATTCCGATTCGATACTTACGTACTCAAATATCGATCTTCATCGACTAATATGCAGGAACAGGAACTTGAAGAATTTCTTCATTACATTAAAAGTCCTATCAGCTTCCAAGAAATGATATTAAACATTTCATGATACATACTGATTTTGTCTACTTACCACTGAAAATCCTAAGCTCGAATGAACTAAACATTTCTAATAGTGCACTGTGATTTCAACGAAACTCGAACGATACACAGAACAAACGTACAACCATCCTCGGTGTATTAATCGACGTTACATTTTTGAATTTCGATTCGAGTTCAACGGATTTGAAGAAAAAAGACCATTGAATCTGGACTCACCTGTCGGATGATTTCCATCGGGGGAATTCCCTCGATGACGCGCGGCAGAACAGGATCCAGCCCCGTTCTGTTCGCGTGAACACGCCCTTACCCGCGACACGCACGGCTCCCCGGAGAGCCCGTGTAACTCCGTTCTAAAGATGTATTGGAGAAGTGTAAGAAGGGTAGCTATTTCTGGTCGTGGGGAGCCGAGAGGCTCGTCGCGCAAACGGCTCTTAGCCACTTCGTACATCGAGTAGTCTGGCGTTCGCCCGCGTATCGCAATACGCATTTCGGCAGGAGAGAACAGCAACGGGGACGGGCACACTGGCGCGGACATGACACGCGCGCCGGTTCGTTTCACCTCGCAGTAATATCCGCGACGGTTGGAAATGACACACCGATCGACCAGAGGGACACAAGATCGCGGAATCGTACGCATATACAGTGTCCATGAAAATGTTCGAGAGCTCGCTTGAAAATCGAAATCGAACGCGACGTCACACGGTCGCGACAGATCGATCGCGTTAAGAAACAGATCGATGCGAAAAGGAAAGCGTGTGCGCGTCTTCCGTATATCCCGACAAAATTCTGATTCTTTTTCGTAACTGTGATTAATATTCAGGGGTGGATCCTGAATCATTGATCTCAAGACTGCTGGCGTGTAATTCCGTGCGAGACCGATTGAGAGTGGTGAAAGTGTGTGGTTCGAAACGACGTAGAAGAGGTTATGTACGAGCGGGGTGCGTTTCCACTGCCGTCCATGCATTCTCCTTAATCCATCGTCTTCCACGAAACGGCGGTCTCTGACAACCGATATAGAGCGGAGTGCACCGGCGTGAAAATAGATGGGTGGTTGGTGAAGATCGGTGAAAGTGACGACGGTGGAAAACAGTTGCCGCGGGCTGAATCGCCGGGGAAGACGAATAGCCCCCGTCGGCCGTGCTTAGGTGGTTTTAAGCGTGAACTTACGGTGGAAACGTGGCCAGAGGCGTGTGGTCGTGTAGTTTAACGTGTAGCGATTTTACAAATCCATAGTGATTCGGAACCGTGGACGAGACATAAATGTCGTCGAACAAAGGGGATACATAACAACAACGCGACAGTCGGTAGCGATTGATGGTCGTCTATAAAAGAGAAAGGAATATTAAAGAGAATTGTCTTTCGGAAACCGATAAGATCGTAAATAAAACGCGGGTCTGGCAGAATGAAAGATGTGGTTTGACACTCCCGCGGGCAAATATGTCAAGCTAACGTCTGTCGTCGCCTGACGCCCCGTTGCCAATCGAAGTAGGCTCGTGTAACGGCCAAGAATCCACGGGTCTGGGCGTGAAATAAAATCGGAAGGGGTCACTTTGGGTGCTGTTCTTTCTCTCTATCTCTCTCAATCTCACTCTGGGGGAGGTGATTAGAGCCACGAAAAAAGTCAGCTCCTCTTTTCTACCGACGAGGAAATCGCCGAATTGGCCGAGTACCAGGGACGACGGGACGAACAAGAGCTCACACGGAATCCTCCGTAGGCATCCCGAACGTAAAAATAAACCTTGTCTCTCTCGAGCGGACGCGAGCGGACCGTGGGGTTCGACGAAAACTTTTTAACGAGCACCCGATGAAAACGACGTCGGGACAGGCCGTTCAGGAAAGATTACGACTGCGAGAAATCCACCATCGGAGCTGAACGAATTAAAATTCCTCTCGTTCGAAAGCTCAGCTTCGAAAGGAAAATCGAACACAGGAGAGGTTGCACGGCGTCCTCCGTGAACGGAAGTCTTGAAGTTCAGAAAAACGATTTCGGTTACGGAATCGTCTTGAGAGCTGCTCGAGTCAGTGACGCACGTGTATGTGACCTTTGGTACGTGATTTACCTTGTTATTTTAAGCAAATTGGCGGAAGAGCATGTTCGTTGGTTTTCGGTATAACGGTGTAAATGACCCTTGACGAATTCGATGGTTCTCAGTGTCGTTCGCACGGTGGTTTCTCCCGGAGGTGTTCATGAAGCTTGGCAATTCTATGTCGTTGTCGGAAGAGATACCACTCCACGTGGACGAGTTATGGCGAGTAAGGGACAATACGAGCCGAGTCACATGTTGACACTGGACGCGTTTACCGACGACAAGGTGGAGTCCGCCAAGAGGAAGTCACGAGTGAATGATCGGGGACACCAACGATTAACAGCTTGAAAATCGCATCGAACTTTGTTAGAACAGGATAAAAAATCGAACGAAAAGCGAGGACTGATGACCTTGTAAGCTAACATTCGAAGACAATGTCCTTCTGCAGGATAACAGGGCGAAGCAGGGGCCTGCCCAAGCCGAATTACTTTCCCCTGCTACCACCGATCAGTCCAGCCGACGCGAAACGCTTCTGCAGGATCACCGGTAAGTCTTACGGTCTGCCCACGCACCACTACATTCCAGTCCTATTGGGCGTTCACAGCCACGACAAGTCGAAATGCAAGATAACAAACGCTTCCGGATTGGGCCCGCATCACTACACCGCCGGCTTCATCCTCGGCGAGAAGAAGAAGCACGTGATCCTGAAAGACTACCGTTACGTGTTCCCGGTACTGGAGGGCGAAGGGGAGCAACAGAGAGCTTTAAGGGATCTACTGAACGCGAAGCAACCGTCCGCAGAGGAGGAACAGGCCAAGTTCGTCTACACCGTGGAGGAACGAAGATGCAGCCTGGTGTTCCCATCCAGACTGGAGGCCGCGGTCCGAGACGGGGACGTGAAGGACGTGATGCTCTCCAGGGACTGCGACACCGTTCTGTTCAGACTGAAACAGGGCAAGAACGTGTCGGTGGATTTCAAGAACTTGGAGGACTTTGATCATCTTTATGACGGACTTGGGCCCAGAGAGGATGTGTTGAAGGAGAGGGAGAAGCAGGAGGCGGAGGCCAGGAGACGTAAGAGGAAGAGGCAAGCTGGACTCAGTTACGCAAAGAAGATCTTCGAGGAGAAAGAGAAAGCTGCCGAGGAAGAGGAACTGAGAAAGGCGAAACAACTAAGGCTCCGAAGCGTCAAGGAAGAGACGGTAGAGGAGAAGGTTGAAAATTTGAAGAGCGTTGATCTCGAACAGGCCAGAATCAGGGCGTGCGAGTTGATATCTGTTACAGGGTCGTTGAAGGAAGCAACGAAGCTCCTTCCTCAAAGTTTGGACTGGAACTCGTTCCAGGAAGCGACCAGATCCCCGTTGCTGCCGGTGGTGGACAAACTACCTGCTCCTATCAAGGTGCAGCCTCAGATCATCGAGCAAGGCGCCTCGTCCGCGTGCACCAGTCCTATTTCGGAGAGCACCGGTGGATTCGAGGCGATATCGATCGTGAAGCCATTGACGCCGCTAAAGATAGAACCGGAACCGTCTCTCCAGGACGCGATACGGAATATTCCAGCGAACGATCTCAGGGCGGTGTCGAACGTGAACGTGAAGCTTCTTCAGGCGGGCGAGGAGGCGTTGGACGAGCTTCCGCGGGTGGAGGAGATCCCGGAGCTCGTGCAGAACATCGGTATGGGTAAGGAGGCGACGTTGCATCGAATCAAGGGTCTGAAATTAGACATAAAATCCGCGCAGAGATTCGTCGCCGGCCAGACGGTGCAGACGCCCAGCGGCCCTATTTTCGTACCTGGCCAGACACTTCCGACACCTCAGGGTCCTGCGTTCGTTCCGGGTCTGACCGTGAACACTCCTGACGGACCGGTCCTCGTCCCTGGCCAGATACTCACCGTCCAAGAGCAGGACAATAAAAGGACACCTGTGTTCGTGGCTGGACAGACATTGCCCACCGAACAGGGGCATAGGTTCCTGCAGGGTCAGACCGTTCACACCAACGAGGGAGCTAGATTCGTTCAGGGCCAGACTGTGCTCACCGAAGAAGGACCGAAATTCGTCGCTGGTCAAGTGAAAGAAAATGGAACCTTCGTACCTGGCCAGACGATCCTCACTCCCGATGGACCGCGGTTCATGCCCGGTCAGACCGTCACCGATCATCGTGGGGAACAGGTGTTCGTTCCAGGACAGAGCGTACAGGTCGATGAGTCCTGGGAATTTGTGCCCGGACAGTGTATCGAGTCTCCGACCGGTGAGACCAAGTTCGTTCCCGGCCAAACGGTCCCAACCACCCAAGGAGCACAGTTTGTCCCTGGACAGTATGTCACCACGAGCTCTGGGGAGGGCCGTTTCGTGCCAGGTATCGCGAAGGACACGGAAGAGGGAGCGACCTTCGTTCCGGGTATGACTCTGGACACACCGAAGGGACAGAAATTCGTTGAAGGTCAGCTGCTAAAGACACCAGACGGAGAGAGATTCTTCCCTGGACGTACTAGACTCACGAACGAGGGCTTCGAGTTCGCTGCAGCAAGCAAGTTCGACGAGGTTGTGTTCCACGATGCTGGCCCGCTTGGCATACCTGTTGACCCGAAGACCGCTAATGTATCTATCCAGCAGAGCGAGATTTTTGGTCACATGGTGCAAACGGAGAGGGGAGTGGAGTTCTATCCGGAGAACGCGAAGAAGAAGCTTCCCGATGGTAAAAGGATCGTTCCAGGGCAACTGGTTCGAGGGGGAAAAGACGGTCCACGGTTTGTACCTGGCGTGATGACAGAGGACGGTTTTCTGCCTGGTCAGATCGTGATGACAGAGAAAGGTGAACAGTTTGTACCTGGCCAGGTGATCGACACCAGTTCTGGACCGAAATTCGTCCCTGGACAGATGGTGGAGACACGAACCGGGGCTAAGTTTGTTCCAGGACAGACCGTGGAGACGGCCGATGGACCTCGATTTGTACCTGGGCAGATCGTCGAGACCAAAGTAGGGCCCACTTTCATCCCTGGCCAGGTGATCTCCACGGAGGACGAAGGATCACGATTCGTGCCTGGTCAGGTGGTAGACACGCCAGATGGTCCGAGATTTGTCCCAGGTCGTGTGGTAGAGTCTGGAGAATTAGGGGTGACCTTTGTACCCGGACAAATCGTTCAGACCGAAGAGGGACCACGTTTCGTTGCTCCTGACTTGACTGACACTCCAGAGGGAGAGGTAGAGTTTTCTGTTCAAGGGTTCGAGGTCACTCCCGAGGAACTGAAGCTACTGAGACCGCAGCATTTACATTACAATCCTCATGTCCAGCATCAGGGAGAGACCAGCATCGATGCTAGAATGTTAAGACAGTTGTCGGAGGCAGGAATGTCCGTGGGACGAAAAGTGACTACAGATTTGCCAGCTGTCGACGTTGATGTGGATCCAAAAGCTGTGGCCTTGGAACACGCGCTGGTAATGGCGGAAAAGCTTGGACTGCACGGTGCTACTGCGGTGAAAATGGCGCAGATAGTGTCCACGGTTGCCCAGTTGGCGAAGAACATAGCGGTCCAGCAGGAACTCGAGGAGAACTTTGTGACCTCGAAACTGTTGAACGGCAGCAAGTCTCCAGTTCTCGCACATAATAATAAGAATGGCAATGATCAGGAAAACGGGAGCGAGGACGACGGCTGGCTGCGCGACGCAATCAGGACAGCACTGTCCACGGCTGTTCTAGCCGTAGCGGACGATTCCGTGGAAACTAGTAACGAGGACAAGCAGGATTTCGTTTATTCCTCCATCAGCGAGGCTTTCAACGTTCTTCTCCGACAGAAGAACACCGGTATCGAGGAATCTGTGGAGGAAATCCTACAGATCCTTCTAGTCCCTCAGAACCGAAGCAGTCTCTGTCAGTCCGCTTTAATAGAGTTGCTGGAAAGCAAGAACAACAAAGTGGACATACTGAAGTCCACCGTAGTCGGTCACTCCTTAAAAGACGACGTGGTGCTCGACAGACTATCCATGGTTCTCGAAGAAGAAAACGGAGCAGATATGGTCGGATCAGCGTTCAGAACAGTCTCGAAAAACGATCCAGAACTGGTCTCCAGAGTGCTCCAAAAAGTCTCCGAAGAGGTGTCTGGTATAGCTACCGAGAGAGAAGCCGTGGAGACGGTTCACAAAGCGATCGTCCACGCGGTCAGGGAGTCCAGCGAGATCAGAGTTCAGGAATTATTGAACGACGAAGGTGATAATATCAGAGAGATGCTTCTGCAAGCTGTTGGATTGGCTAGAGCTCTAGGAATGTCCAGCACCGCGAGTAGCCTTCTGGCGGTGGTCAGCGACGAGAAGTCCACGCGGGTATTGGCCAGCGACAGAGTGACCCTGGATGTTCTTAGGAGGTTGACAGTGATGAGGAAGCTCGCTGAAGAGAGGCCACCGTTCATGAACGCTCTCACGCAGCTCTGCAGCGATCCAGAGCTGGCGAGAACCGACCCCAGACTTCGAACCCTCGTTCGTGAAAGTGCTGCCTTGATGATCGTTCCGGAAGAAGCGCCATTACAATCCTCGGCTGATGTGCCCACGGCTTTGCTTCAGTCGGACAACAGCCTGGCGATGGAGGAGTTTCTTCTAAGACGAAGTCGACGTTCGTCCTCTATCTTTATGATCCTGAAGCAGGGCCTGCAGGCAGTCGTGCCTCGGGAAGCTTCCAGGTCGGTTCTCACCGGCCAGGTGGCTTACACTGTTCTCGATGAGGATGGTATCCATCATTTCGAACCACTTCATGTCTTTTCTGCGCTGAGACTCAATCGACCAACTGCTCATCGGTTCTCCATGTATTGTTGCCCGGTCGCGAAAGAGGAGGATCTGGAAGTCGAGATGCTGTCCACCTTCACGGGGACAACTTCGATCGCCAGTAGCCTAGATGGATCTGGAAATGGGACTTGTCAGAAACAGGAGAGCATAAACGGAGTTATGCTGTCCAGATCAGATAGATCGCGCGGGTATTCCGCCAGCAGGGAGAACACGCCGAGCTTGAGGAGACTGAGCAGCTTCCAGCAAGACAATTGCTGTGAGCGGGTAATGTTGAGGGAGAGGGTTTTATACTTAGTCTGTTCGTGGATACAAAAATTGTCTGAAGTGCAGATGTATCTTTGTTTTAAATAGAATCTTTAAATAGACGTGTGATTCTCGGAAATCTATATGATCGATTTGTGATTTATTTATTAATGCTAAAATTACCGATCTGCTTCTTTTATTTATAAAGTATTTCGGATTTCTTCTTTTGCAGTCTTGGAAATCTTGAAGATACACTTTATATTATCTGTACTAACAAGGAGAGGTCCCCAGGTGTAACGCTGACTTTTTAATGAGCTTTAGCACATTTATAGAACTTGGAATTTTGAAGCTAATTATATTTGTTTCAGCCACATATGGCTACTCAAGATCCAACTTTACTTCTGTTAAACATTCATAGATCCATTCTTTGTACTTCCGGTTTGTCAACAGCTCAAGCCACCAGGAAACAATCTTCTTTTTTTCTCTGTTACAGAAAGCCTTGGACAATTATATCGTCGTGAAGGATTACAAGAGCGACACGGATGGTTTCTCCGTGAATGTCGGCGACATCGTCGAGGCCCTCGAATACGCGGATCCAGCAAAGTAAGCAGCCTCCAGTCAGCTTCATAAAACGAAGAGAAAACAAATGGTCCTTGTTGTTTTGTTGGATCGTTGACTCCGCGTGTCGGAGCATTCGCGTGCGCCGTTAAAATTCTATTTTCGTGTGTGTGTGTGGCTGTGTGTGCAACGTGTGGCCGCCCGAAAATAATCCCCAGCCCGTATACAGTCTATGGCCGATGGATACGGATGCTGATCTGTCACATTTGGAAAACACGTAATCGGAGTCTTCATTAACAGCTCTTACTGTTCTCGACGCTGTATAGTGTTACAGTGATCGTCAATGGTTGAATTTCAAAGAGGACCGAATGAGTATAATACCTACTGAAATTGCATGACGCATGTATTCACTAGACGCTGCATTAACCGATTTTACGAGCTTCTGCTTAACACTGGAACAACCAAACCCATCAGAATGACGGATTTCAAATGTTTCGTTAGACAATTACGAAAATCATTAAGGTGCTTCAGTCGGGATTTATGTTGACTTTCAGTTGATTATCCCTTTAACGCCCAGACCCTCTAATCGTTATTTTAAATTTATGAGACTGATATATACATAAAAAATTTTGTAAGTAGGTTGGTTTAAACCAACGATATTAATTAACAGTAATAAGGTAGACAGAGCTGTGTCACTTCAATCAACCTACGAAGGCAATTTCTATATAATTAATTTATTTATTACCAACATAATCTTGTCGGTTCACTAAAAAATTCGTCATCCCACTGGCCTGGAACGCTCAGAAAAATACAGAAGACAAAACGTGCGATAGACTTTCATCTCACAAATAGCTAAGTGTGTTGGCATCGATAATGAAAGAAGATGGACCCTCGATTATTTCTCTTTACAACGGCACCGCTTTATCATCAACACAACTAACCGCATGGAATATTTCCGAGCCATAATTAGAGACTGCATTTAATGGAAGAAAAACGATTCCGAACATGAAACAGCATGGAGCTACGAGGGGGAGACCCAGACGTACTGTCCAGTCCGCGTGTCAAACCGTGAGAGATCACCCCGTGTAGGAAGGCTTGGCCCCCTTTGCTTATTTTCGCAGCGATATTTTTACGCGGACGACGTTTCGCCTGACGTGTATCCTCGAGGCGCGCGCGGCCACGTTTATAAAATACGTCGACAGCACTCGCGAGTGCCGCCCCGGCAGATGGAAAATTTCGCGTTTGGAAGGCCTGGTCGAGCCTCCCCAGGTTCGGTTCATCGAACGTTCCCATCGTACAATAGACAGGCCGTCGACAGGGAATAAAACAACGCCGAAAACAGACGCGTCTCGATGATCGAGCCCGTCGAGATCGCGCGTTTGGAGAAATGTCCGCGCGTAAAGGACGCCTTTAACTGCCGCGAATAGACCAGCACGCCTATAAATAACGCCGTCTAGCGAACTCGAATAACAAAGAACTGCAACACCACACCGACTACTGGATGAAAAGCGTGATCTCGATCATCCCTCGTGTGCGCAATTTAACCAGCGGCCAAGCTTGCTTCGATTAACGGATGGGATAATGTTTAGTCTGCCAGTGAAGCTGAACGAAAATCACGTTGGTAGCTATTCTGGGTGTTTTGACCGTGTTGTAGAAAGATCAAGCTGGATCCTGAACTGGAGATCGGTGAGATCGGCGATGTGCTGGACAACTCGGCCGCCTGGCACAAGTTGTCCGTTCGACCACGACGGAAACACGGGGATCCACGGGCTCGAAGCATCTCGAGATCGAGCTCGGACACCAGCCTTCAGAGGTAACACTGTTTAGCGACTCGTCGATGGGCTGAGATAGCGATTTTAACCACCTGCTTTGGGGATAATTGGGAAATCACTGTTTGATTGTGTGTGGCTGTATTAAGTGGATGTTGTTGGACTAAAACAATAATTTTATTGATAAGATAAT